TTTGTTTTTTAAGTAAAACACAATACTTTCAAGTACATTCAGAACATTGGAAACCCTGACTATTAGAAAACATCTCTCTGTTGCTTCAGAGGCCATAACAGACCTTTGTTGATTTACCAACAGTTGATTTAAAAAATCTAATCAATTTCAGTCCAACTCTCTCAATAACCTTGGCCAAAACAATAAACAGTTCAACATAAAGTGCCAGTTGCACCAACAACGTAATAAATAGTTCAACATAAAGTGTACCATTTAAAATAAAATAATATTCTTTCAATATCCTGATGAAAAATAAAAATCTCTCTGTTGCATAGGCCACTGTTTGATCAACGCGAATTGGGTGTGGGTCCTTGTATTCCGAGTCGGGCTAACGTCCGCGCTAGCTTCCACGCTAGCTGCTATATGTTTTGCATTGAGGTGATACTTGAGGCTTGATGTGCTGCGGTGATATGCGAATTCCTCTTTGCATAATTTGCAAACAACTGTGCTCTTATCGACTCTTCCCTCCGTCCGTTTTTTAAAACAAAATGTCCCATCCACGGGGCCAACCAAAGCGGTCTCATCAGCTTCTTCGTTCACGTTTGACTATTGTTCACTGTGGTTTGTTGTTGTCTGAAGTAATGAACGTTAGTTGGTGCTCCAGTATAATCGGTACCCCTGAAACTCATCCAGTGAGAAACGTTCCGCGGTGCAAAAATAAGTGCGATTAAAATGCGTTAATTTTTTTAACGCGTTAATTTTTGTGTAATTAATTAATCTTAATTAACGCGTTAAAGTCCCGGCCCTAATATATATATATACACACACAATTGTATTGATTGACATACAAGGAATTTGCTCTGATATATTATCGTGCATACATAAAGTTAACATTCTAAGATAAATTATACCGTAAAAATAATGAAATAAGAAACATCAAGCACACACAAAATGATTACAAAAATAAAAATGGATTTGCATTAACGGGCAGCTATTGTAATGATCTACCAATCAAAGGGTCATTGGTTTGATCCCACCCTGTGCAGTTAACACGTTGAAGTGATCTTGGGCAGAATGTGGGTCAGGGTTAGATCAACTAAAGTCGATGAGAAGTACGAGTCAAAAATCTACTAAAAGTGTACTTACAGCCAGCATCTCGGCCTCCAGCAGAGTCCTGTACTGCATGCTGCTGGTGGTGTCCACGTGCAGCAGCTGCCCTTTGATGGTAGGAGAGTAGCCTGGGGGGGGAGGAGAGGCACACAAAAGCACAGCCATCAATTCTCAAAACCCAAAGCTAGGGCTCTGCTTTTACAAATAATGCAATATACCGGCACAAAAATTACATTTCTGCAGACAGACGAAATCACTGACTGATGACTGATACCCTATGTTGAGCTCAGTGTGATACATTATTTACATTCCTCACAACTATAGGCATTTAAAAAGTTGAATGGTTCCCGAGGTCAGCCGTTTCACTCTGGATTGACTGTGGAGTTATATTTCAAATTGGTTTTACTTGATGTTGAGTCTGTATTACTGTATAAGAGGGGGAACACTTCACAATTACATTTAGCTCCTTAAGCCACAAGGTGAAGAAAGTGCTACACTACACAAACTCTGGAGTCTTGGGTCGAAAAGTTGAGTGACTTTAGAAAGTGTGTGTGTGGTTTAAAGTGATTGAAGAGCAATGGAGACTCGGAAAAAGAAAATTCTTCGTAGTTTCTACAATTTGACCATGTTCAAATTTCAATAATTGCCTCATAATGGAAATGTAGCACAATGTGTAGCGCTTTTTTCACAGCCAGGTACTTTACACTGAGATTGAGGTTAAAATGATTACATGTACATTTCAATTAGTAGGACTATAGCTCATGGGTAAATAGGCAAATATCAATCAGAGGGAACTTAACTCCAAATGATTCCCATTGGTATGTCTGAAGTATTTCTTAATCAATATGGATACAATGGCTTTGTTGTGATTGGTCAACCACATAGAGATGTCCTGCCCTTTGGCCTATCATGGTTAATATGTTGGACTCCTTTGTTTCAGTAACATAGCAACATCACTCTTTAACATTCGCACATCTATTGGCTCGTGCTCCAACATATTGTACGCGGTAGGTTAAGGGGCGGGACCTCTCTAAGGTGGTTGATTTATCACAGAGCTGGCCAGCTAACCAATCAGAGCAGACTGGGCTCTGGTTTCAGACAGAGGGTGAAAAGAGGTGCTGCAGCACAGGCAGTATGAGAAAAATAAATAACTTTTTGAACATTAAAGCATGAAGACATGTCACAGTAGAGACACTAAATACAAATATAAACCTAAACATTTGCATTAAATGCATTCTCTAATGTTTTTTGTGAAGCAATTTGAATGTCCTTGTTGTTGAAATGTGCAATTTCAATAAGATTGTGGGAACTGATGCACGTGGTGACATTTTAGTGTACTCGTTTTTTTGTTTGTTACGCTTACCATTGTCTCCGACAGTCATGGGGATGTTGACTTCCAGGTAAGAGCCTGCGCCTACATTCACATGGATGGCGTTGGTTTCCTAGCAACAGGGATAAAGACAGAGCAAGGGGAGATAACGAGAAAAAAGAACAGTCACAAAGGCTGTCAATTCTTTACTGACACACTGCCTTAAGAATAAAACCCAAAGTTTCTGAATCTGAACTCAAACATGTGGTGATGAGCATCAAGCCATTTCATGTTTATATCCAACAGGCATTTGTGCGGATGTTTAGTATGCATTTCACACACTCAGCCTGGTGAAAACCCAAGCACTGCCCGGGAATGAACATTTGAGAAAGCATAAAACATGAACCGATATCGACGGCTGGAACATGACGAGGCATGGAGGAAATGGAGAAAGAGAAAGAAAGATGCAAAGAGAGAGGAGTCACCCTGTTTTTGGTAAAGAGCAGATCGATGGTGGCGTCAGCGATGATGTTCATGCGCAGCTCGAAGGCCTGGATCTGCCTGGGTTTGCCCGGCTCGGCATCCTCGGTCACTTTCATGGCCTGGTAGTCAGCTGGCAGGAAGAACTTCCACAGACAGTCCCTGAGGAGAGGGGAACTCATTTAAATGCAACACCATCTCTGTACACCCTAAAAGTTGGAGTCTCAAATCTGCCATGCTGGAGAGATCATCAGATTCCGACCACACACACATTTTGGATATACCATAACATTACAACATTTTGGAATTTGAAACACAAAGTTTTGCCAATATTGCTAGGATATCATTTCCCTATCAATTACAAGGTGCTGTTTCTGAGAGAATGACTTAAGAAAATCTCAATCTGAGGGATGGGTATCTTGTAAAAGGCATAATGTTCCTTGGTACTGGAAAAAAAACGACAGGCTGAGCATGATGCTTACGCTTATTACATGGCATAAAATTGATTAACGATTTGACTCACAATTCTGTGATGAATATTTCATTTCAAACCTTTTTTATGCAGGTGAATCCCATTGAGATCATTGATCTCTTTTTCAAGGGTGACCTGCTGCAAGTAGGTTCCACATGAATACATATAAACATAAAACAACAGAACAACAAAAAGGACATCATACAGCATATTTACAGCGACTACAGTTTACATACCTAGGGACATTTACAGGTTCCAACAGTTTCCGATTGGATAGCATCTATCCTTGCTTTAAAAACATTTAGTGGAACCAAATTGCTCAGCTTCCATTCCTTTTGCAGATTGTTCCAAGTTAGAGGAGCTGCGCACCTAAAAGCTATCTTCTCTAAGACAGTCCTAGCAGTTGGCACATTTAATAAAACTACAGCATGCGATCTCAGGCAGTAGCCATTTACAATTCGCCGTAAGATCAGGGAGCAGATGTAGGATGGAAGTTTCCCTAACATGGCTTTGTATATAAAAATGTACCAGTGACTGAGCCTCCGTACAGTTAGTGAAGGTAAACCAGCCCTTGCATACAGGGTACAGTGATGGGTTAATGCTTTACAGTTTGTCACAAATCTCAGAGCACTGTGATAGGTGGCATCTAACTTGATTAGGTACTGTAATTGGCAGGTATATTCATATAAATCAGATCACCATAGTCCAGCACAGGTAAAAATGTCACAGAGCCTTTTCCTGGCCTCAAGCGAGAAACAGGACTTGTTCCTGTAAAAGAAACCCT